GTCTAGGCCATACACTAAAATCCTTTCCTCTGAAACTCCTAGAGCCAAGGTGCCCACAGTTCAAACCACCCCCAGCACCACTGTCTTCCATGCCCCTTCCAGCCTGGCCCATTAAGCCTCGCTTACAGCATTCTACTGCTTTTCTAATCCAAAGTCCCAAAGTCCACAGTTCTCCAAACAAAAGCGTGGCCAGACCTATTACAACAGTACCCTAGTCCCTGTGCCTTAGCTACAGTTGTATTGCTATGAAGAGACACCAAGACCACAGCAATTCTTATAAAGGAAAACATTTAATTGGGGCTGGCTTACAGTTTCAGAGGTTTAATCCATTATTGTCATGGCAGGAAACATGGCAGATCATAGGCAGACACAGTGTTGGAGAAGGAGCTGAGAATTTACATCTTGTTCTGCAGGCAGCAGGCAGAGTGACTTGAGCCTATGAGATAGCAAAGCCAGCTTCCACAGTGACACACTTCCTCCAACAAGGCCACACCCACTCCAACAGGCCACACACACTCCAACAGGCCACACACACTCCAACAAGGCCACACCTCCTTATAATGCCACTCCTTATGAGACTATGGGGCCATTTTTATTCAAACTACCACTTGGAGAGAAGACAGTTATTTCATTTTAGATATACCAGGTTGGGTCCAGAGACATGGGATAAGCAAAGCTGGTAACATAAGGAAAAACCTTTAGGTAAGTAAAGCTTTAGGGAAGCTGCTGGAGGCATTTTTCTTATTGGACCTGTCTGGGGACAGGTTAGTGGGACTGGGGAAACAAGTCTTATATTTGGAGCTAGAACTAGATAGCATATTTGAGAACCACAGCTACCATCAAATGAATCTTTTTCAAAGCTTTGGAAAACCTGTGTCTGGTGTGTTTCTTTGGAAAGAAATGAATTCCCAGCATAGAATAAAGGAAACAATGTTCCAATGTAATTAAACTAAAGTAAATCAACAAATTTTAGCATGGCTTATGCTGGGCCAGGAAGATTCTAAGATGTGCTACCATAGAATCTACTTCTAAGGTAAGTAAACTTCTGTAACAAGAAATATTTTTCTATGGTGGTGAAATAGAGCCTGAGCAAGCGCCAAGATTAAGTTCAAGTATTATTATTTGATATTCCCAGAACTTAGAGGTGTGGATGAGGAAGAAGGTAAAGATTATTTGAGCAAGAACTTCTGGAAAGCATGTGGCTCAGAGTATGACCTGAGGGCCAGCAACATAAGCATCCCTTGGAAGCCCCAGGACCCACGTTTCACAAACTGAAGCCAGCTTAGACGCACTGCTAGCTGATGCCGGTCATCCTGTGCTCCACAGAGACCCTCAGGAAAAGAATCCACACCTCATGTGGGAGGGGCTCAGCAGAACCCATGGATCCCCAAACCTCTCCCTTGGAGAGCTCTTCTTAATTCCCAAGTACACAGTTAGCTCCAGGTAAAAACTAAATGTTTTTTAGTAGCCCAGTGCTGTGAAAATATGCTCCTGAATTCTGAAGTATGGAAATGTTTGGAAGGTGGGCACAGACTTAGGAATTTGCAAAACTGGAAAATACTATTCCCCAGAATGTCTGGTTCTGTACAAAGTGCATATAGTTAATGTTAAAGCCATTCCTTTCAAAGATTAAAAAATATATACTTGTGAAATGAGTGAATGAATGAGACAGCTCTATGTGGTGGCAGAATCTTGGAATCCTGCTACTCAGAAGGCTGAGACAGAAGGATAGCAGCAGTGCAATGCCAGCCTGGGCTATATAATGAGATCGTGTCTCAAGCAAATAACAAAGCCTTTTCTATTTCTGAAGCAAATAGCAAAATTAATTTTTTACTTCTGTTACATAAGTTCATACCCATCTGGTTAGATTTAGTTAGAGTATTTCATCAGCAAGCAGGGAGAGAATAAACTTATAGGGATTATCAAAACAGAAGTCATAATGCCCAATAGTGGTAAACAGCTAAGCCATGACCTTCTTCATATGAGAAACTTGCCATGCCTAGGCAATGTGCTGCTTAAGCAGCTGTGGAGCATGATTCATAATTTATTTTATTATTTTTTAAAGATTATGTGTATGCTGCTTTACCTGAATTTATATAACTATATCATATGCATGCTTAGTGCCTATAGAGGCCAGAAGAGGATGCTGGGTCCCCTGGTACTAGAGCTGTAGACAGTTGTCAGCCACTATATGGTTGCTGAGCCTCCTCTCCAGACCCACATCTCATGATTTTATCTTATTTTTTTCTGTGCATGGGTATTTTGCCTGCGTATATGTCTGTACACTATATGTGTGCTTTGTGCCTATGGAGGCCAGAACAGTGTGTTAGAGCCCCTGGAACTGGAGTTACAGATGTATAAGTGGGCACTAAGCTCAAACCTAGGTCCTCTGAAAGAGCAAGAGGTTTTAACTGCTGAGTCATCTCTCCAGCCTTCACAGCTCATGATTTTAAGACTCAACCTCCTTCCCTCTCTTCCTCCTCCTTTTCTTTCTCCCTTTCTTTTTCTTTCATGTGTTTTCCATGCAAACCAAAACGAGCTGAAAGCCTGCCAAGGCCAAAATGTAATTGAAGGTGGCATTTAAGCCTTTGTGTCTCCTTTGTCTCCAGAGACATCATCGCAAAATAAAGGACTTCGTCAGGTAATGTTTTCTTCATTATTCAACATCACAACGGGGTGAAAAAAGATAATTAGACATATGGTGCTGTCGACACATAGTTTATGAGGAGCTTCTAGTTAATTAGTTATGGTAAAAGGTTTTTATATAGCCATAATTACTTTATATTTCAGGGGGAAAGAAGCAAACATCCATGTATTTTATTTTACCTGGTGACAAGTTTGTCAAAGTGCTGTGATGTGATGAAACTTCAGCACCTTCTCCAGACTTCCTGGGCCACTACACAAACACGTCAGGGGGATTTTTAACAGCACAGCACTGTTAACCTCAATAGAAGCTACACATCTGCAGTCTTACACAAAGTCTCACTAGATTCTATTTTTAAAATTCATCTCCTTTGTGTCCTAGATCCCTTTATCATCTGTGGAAGATTAACCTAGAGAGAGATTTAGAGAATAATTATAGCAAAAATATGAGACAAGCCACTTTATGAGGGTAGTTTTTATTTCTTTAGTCAGCCCCTGAAACAAAAATGATAGCTAAACAGTGCGCTGGGAGCTAGGGAGGTGGCTTGGTGTCTACAACACTGACTAAACTAATGTGGAGACCAGAGTTCCATCCCAGAATCCACACAAAGGCTAGATTTGGTCGTGTGGACATCTAAGCCCAGGGATCTTATGGCGAGGGAGCCACAGACAACAAAGCGATCATGTTCTCAGCAATGTGGAAGGTGTGAACACTGACACGCAAGGTTGTTCTCTGCCTCTTTATACTAGTCCCGGCACACTCATGTCTGCACTCACATGTGAATGCACATGTGCGCACACACACACACACTCACATTTTACAAATCGACACCAGAAGTGTAGCAGTCTCTAACTTGTTCATTTAAAATAATTCTAGGCTATAAAAGGTGTCTCTTTTCTTATCACCCACTTCCAGCATATTGGTTATTAAGATCTCTTTCTAATTAAGAAATGAAGAGAAGTTAAAAATTGAGATGTGTAAGACTGGTTTTCTCTTCTGTGTGTGCATTAGTTCTAACAGTGTTACACTGTGGGAAAGCCAGGAGATCTCTGTCATGTCCTATGCCACCTGAGTGCCCTGGAACACAACCTGCCTAATAATTCATGATGGAGTTATTCCTTCCCTGAGAGGAAAAATTAGCCAAGTAGCAACATGCTTTTGATTGTGAAGACCTACGATGTCAAAAAGCTGATATATTCCTGGGTATGTAAGCAAAGTTTGCCCAACGTGGGGCTTGGCACAAATATCCTCAAGCCCAGCCAAGTGCTGTATTAAAAGAGAAGATGGAAATCTGAGATAGGTGCTGAAGAGGACGACTTCCACAATTTCCACAACACTGTGAAAACCCTCATGTCACTTTATCTCCTGAAAGTCATCAGCTGCAGGAGTGAGTGGCAGCCCTATGCTCTTCTCTGATGCTGGCACAGTACGTATTGACATAACACTGAAATGTGGCTCTGGGAATTATCACGTTGGTCACTATTAAGTGTTGCATGCAGTTTACACATGAAATATTCAAGGTGGGTTTTTCACTTCCTTAAGGTCTAGGTGAGTGAGTGACTTGAAGTTCTTAATCTTTCCAAGCCTTATGTAGAAAATGAGGTGAACGCCAGGATGAGCTACAAGCACAAGGATGTTCGCACACTGAGCTGCAGAAATGCCCAGGAAATGCGAGCTTCTGCTAAGTCCATCGTCACCATGCTCACAGATGATGAAATTCAGAGGTAAGAACATTACATTTCCCAGGAGTGGGAGCTGGAATTGGTACACAGGACCACACTCCAGCTTTTGTTCTCACCAAAAACTAGAGTAAGGACACTAAGCCACCACTCCTTGGCTCTCCATCTTCCAACCTGATGAACAGAGTCAAAGCTCTGACTCCTGGGGTTCGCCCACCTTCTGTGTGGACCTGCGAGGCACTAGAGACCTGGTCAGAAAGCCTGCCTTGCTTACCTTTTTAAAAAGAATTATTTTACTTTTAGGTGTGTGTGTGTGTGTGTGTGTGTGTGTGTGTGTGTGTGTGTGCGCTCATGAGTGCAGGTTACCTTGGAGGCCATATTTCCTGAAGCTGGAGTTATAGGCTGTTGTGAGCTTTCTGATGTAGCTGCTGGTTACTGAACTTGGTTCTTTTGCAAGAGCAGTGCATGCTTTCAAACACTTAGCCATCTTTCCTGCCCCACTGTGCTTGGTTTTTAACCTGAGCTTTAAGTACCCCCCTGCTTATTTCCTTCTGTAAAGGTGGACAGGGAAAGAGGCACACCCTTCTGATTTTCCCCTAGATCCTTTTCCCTTAGCCCTACCTGACTGGTGCTCTGTGATGACTTAGAGGACTCTGTAATTTTATTTTTCTCCTCGTAATCCTTCCAATGGTTTCTGTTTTTAACATTGTTGGCCAAGACACTAATGAATCCTTGTAGGAATAGGTTAGAAAGAGACCTCATTTTTCTACCCAGAGAAAGGCCTACCTCAGATTCAGCACCTTCACATTTTCAAGTGGACCACACAGGGAATGAACTTTTAGTTCAGATGTCAGGTTTGCTGACTGCACTCCTAGCGTAGACCAATATGTTGCATGAAAACCATGTGAAGGTCCAGGGAGATGACTCAGCACTGAGAGTTCTCACCATAGCAGCCTGACAACCTGAATTCAATTCAAGGATCCTTTTCTTGTTTGTTTGTTTGTTTGTTTGTTCATTTCAAGTCAAGGTTTCTTTGTGTAGCCTTGGCTGTCCTGGACTTGCTTTGTAGACCAGGCTGTCCTCAAACTCACAAAG